TTAAATAAAAAAAGGCTTTACGGTGCGGTTAGACCAGTTGAACCGAAGCCCACTTCTCCCTATTCATTCGCAAAAAACCAATTGCTCCCATGGATTCGCATGCCCCAATCTGTTCACAAGGCACAATTCCTCCATTCGGACCTCCCATTCCCGCAGGCCATGACAAACCCGCTTAGGCTTCTCCGCACACCAGCCACATTCAGTTTTCGATCTACATGAAAATTCCATTCACGTGAATTTTTTTTTGGGACATTTAGACCATTTAAGGAAAACTCACACACACAACGCATGATACACATAGACTCGAACCCTATACCTCTTAGTTGGAAGCCTTAGCTCTCAACCAATAGGCCAAGGAGAGTTGTGTATTCACATGAATTCCATTTAGTGAATTCCTGCAAAACAACTTCAATAAAGAATACAAAAGGTATTAAATATTCTTTTTCAGAATTGATATGCGAGATGTTGCATTAAAAAGACCTTATTTCTATTTGTAAAAGCAACTTTTGATTACTTATTTAGAGATAAGTGAGCAGATGTCAGATGTTTGAAATATTCTAAAATTAAAGACTTTTCTTTATTGCCAAATTTTATATCTGTTGGTTAAACTTTTGAAATCTTTCATTCAAATTATATACATTTATAGGCTTAAATTTCTTTCAGTAATTTCATTCCCTATCTCTCTAATAAATACAATATATTGCAGTCATTATAATATTCTAATTTTTTATGATAAATCCCGTAGCTAACTTGCAAGCTTATAGAATCATACATGCTATATGTAAGGATTGTGAACAAATCTTTGGTACATGCATTATTTAAGATATTTTATTTTAACAACTATTTATATATACAAGTAACTTGTTAATAATATAATCTCATTGGAATTTTATCAACTCGTGCACTTCAATGATAAATAGGATAGATTTATAATAATATAAATATGATAGATTTATTTATTTTAATCATAGTCATATAATATGTAACAACAATTAACAATTGAATATTAATTAATGAATTAAACACTAATAATTAATTAAAGAATAGTTATTACGTTAATATATGGATTTTCAAATTCTATAATATACAATCAAAAAGTTCTAAAATGCTAACATTTTCTTAATGTAATAACTAATTAAGATTTACTTTAACATTTTATTTTTAAAATTATGAATTATTAAAATGACAAAATTTTAATAGTTATTATTAATTAATGAATTGTGTTATTAATTTCTGGGATAGGCATAAATTAAAAATAAAATACAAATAAATATATTAATTCATTGTATTTAAATATAGAAATAAATGCAATTAAAATCTTTGGCATTTCAAATAATTGGTTGTCACTTAAATGCAATTAATGTAAATAAAATTAAGAAAACATCATACATTTAATTAAATAAATGAAGTTCAAATAAATTAAATGTATAAATAAATAAATGGTTTGGATACATCTTTGATAAACAAAATGAAAGGCTAAGATTGTTTTAGGGAAAAAAATACTCACGCAACTTTAATAATAGCTAGTATAGATATATTTTAGATTTTAATAAATAATGCCTACAATTAATTCAAAATAAATATGAATTTCAAGCGTCAACTTCAAATGAAACATTGAGTCAATTGATGAATAATTTTGGTAGATGTAATTGCAAGTACATATAAATTGATATGTAAAATTCAAACATAAATATATTATGGTCTAATAAAATTAAGATATTTGTCAATCATATAAACTTCAATAAGCCTAAATCAAACACAAGCTTTGATGAAAAAAAGCAGGTGAATCACATATCAGTGATTGTTGGATTCTCTTGTGTCTTACTATATTGTTAATTACTATGGAGCCCAAGCAACTGAATCATAATAAAAAAACCTCATATTAATATCAAATATAAGTTTGATTTACATGAAACAATATATGTTATGTTCCATATAAAATATTAATAATATTTTATATTCCTAGCTGTTTTACAAAAAAATAGTTTGAGATCCATGCCATTTCATATATTGTATGCTATCAATGAAAGGTAATAAATATTATATTTTTTAGAAGTAAGAAAATAATATTTATATATATAAGATTTATTAAGCTTTTTTCATATGAATTTTAACATTCCTATTAATTTATATTTTCATTAGATTTACGGGAGTTAGTTTTATAAAAATTAATATTAAAATAAGGGATACACTTATATGAATAAAATATTTTGGATTGTTGAAATGCAAATAAATATGTTTTCTATTGATTCTCCTTTTAATATGATGCTATTTAGAGCATCTGAATCAGTAATCACTAAGTAAAGCATGAAGAGATATAGAAGGAAGATATCATCAGATGGTTCAATAATTTCCTATACACTCATCCTTGAACTTATAGAATTACTTCCATAAATACTGGCTAAAAACTCTACTGAAGTGGATCTAGTGTTTCCTGACCTTTCTTAGTTGTCACTCCTAAGAAAATTTTAGAGAGACACTCTAATATTTGACTTTTACAAACTAAATAAACTCTCTTACAATTATTGCAAACATGCTATATATATGAAAACATATAAAATGAATTCTTGTACCACGGTGATCAACACACTAGTGCTGCGGTATCCATAAAAGAAACTAATGCCGCATCACTGAAGGGTTTAATCCATGGTGGAACTTATTGGCATGGAAATAAAAAAGCAAAGTCTACAAAGTAAATAATTAGTTCAAGAATCAGGACCTCCATATGTCCGACCCTAAAGTTGGTAACTCAAAAGAACAAAAAAAAACCACTATTGTTTCTCCCTAGTCCCTATAATGATGGTAGACAACCGTGAATACAGTGACCGCAATCGTAGTAATTATCGAGAACAAATAAGCCGCATAGTTTTTCTTCCACCATATTTTTTTCTCCTCAATTTTTTATCATTTCCTCAAGTTTTTCGGTCATGAATGCAACCTTTTCTTTCATCTCTTCTTTCACTTTGTTTAACTTCTTCAAATTATTATTTTCGAATGTAAATTAGTTAATTTAACTTAGTTAATTAGTTCATTTAGATTAGTTAATTTAATTAATTGGTTAATTTGTTAATTAGTTTAGTTTAGTTAATTAGTTAACTTAAGCTAGATTATATCATTATTAGTTTTATTAGTTAATTAGTTCATTTAGATTAGTTAATTTGTTAAGGGGAAAATTTCAAACTAAGCAAGATTAACAATTAAACTATAAGAATAAGCATGTTAATTTAAAAATTTAAATGTAGGCAAAGTCGGGCCTTTGAACGGCGACTTAGGTGCGACCAGAATTCCACGTGGCAGCAGATGTGTGTTGGTGGAATTTTGAAAACATGTCTTGAACAATATTAGTTTTCTTTG